ATAGGGTGCTCCACCGAAGGCCCCAGTGGCAGGGTCCGCATGCAGTTCCACCTCCATTTCGGCGCACCCCATCACACGTTTCGTGGCTCCATAGGGAGCTCCACCGAAGGCCCCAGCGGCAGGGTCCGCATGCAGTTCCACCTCCATTTCGGCGCACCCCTCACACGTTTCGTGGTCCCATAGGGTGCTCCACCGAAGGCCCCAGGGGCAGGGTCCGCATGCAGTTCAACTTCCATTTCGGCGCACCCCTCACACGCTTCGTGGCCCCAGTGGGTGTTCCGCCGCGCACCCCTCGCACGTTTCGTGGCCCCATAGGGTGCTCCGCGGAAGGCCCCAGTGGCATGGTCCGCAGGCAGTTCCATCCCCATGTCTTCGCACCCCTCGCCACGCGTTTCGTGGCCCTACAGGGTGCTCCGCCGAAGGCCCCAGTGGCAGGGTCCGCATGCAGTTCCGCCCCCCGTGGCAGGTCCGCATGCAGTCCCCTCTCCATGTCGGCGCACCCCTCACACGTTTCGTGGCCCCATGGAGTGTTCCACTCAGGGCCCCAGTGGCAGGTTCCGCATGCAGTTCCCTTTCCATTTCGGCACACCGTTTCCACGTTTCGCGGCCACCAAAGGCCCTGGTGGCAGCGCCCGCACGTGGTTCCACCCTGCATTTCCGCGTTCCCCTCACACGTTTCGTGGCCTCAAATGGTGCTACAACGACGGTTCCGGCGGCAGCGTCCGCATGGCGTACCCGTGCCAATTTTGGCACCCCCGTCGCACGCGTGACGAAGGACCCAACCATGTGCAGGTGTGAATACCGCAGTTGACACTACCAATTTCGGTGGGGCTCCCTATGGGGCCAAGAAGCGTGTGAAGGGGATGGGTGTGCAGGACGCATGCGGGCGGCAGCACTGGGGCCTTCGGTGGAGCTCCCTATGGAGCCACGAAACGTGTGAGGGAGTTGACGAAATGGGTGTGGCTGGCGCATGCGGGCGCGGGCGCTGGGGCCTTCGGTGGAGCTCCCTATGGGACCACGAAACGTTTGAGGCGTGTGCCGAAATGGGTGTGGCTGACGCATGCGGGCGCGGGCACTTGGGCCTTCGGTGGAGCTCCCTATGGGGCCACGAAACGTGTGAGGGGTGTGCCGAAATGGATGCGGTGGGCGCATGGGAGCGCAGCCGCTGGGGCCTTCGCTGGAGCTCCCCATGGGACCACGAAACGTGTGATGGGTGTGCCGAAATGGGTGCGGTGGGCGCATGGGAGCGCAGCCACTGAGGCCTTCGCTGGAGCTCCCTATGGGGCCACGAAACGTGTGAGGGGGTGTGCAGAAATGAGTGCGGTGGGCGCATGGGAGCGCAGCCACTGGGGCCTTCGGTGGAGCTCCCTATGGGGCCACGAAACGTGTGAGGGGTGTGTCGATATGGGTGCGGTGGGCGCATGGGAGCGCAGCCACTGGGGCCTTCGCTGGAGCTCCCTCCTGGGCCACGAAACGTATGAGGGGTGTGCCGAATGGGTGCGGTGGGGCATGGGAGCGTAGCCACTTCGCGTGGGGCCACGAAAGAGGGTGTGCCGAAATGGGGTGCGGTGGGCGCATGGGAGCGCAGCCACTGGGGCCTTCGCTGGAGCTCCCTATGGGGCCACGAAGCGTGTGAGGGGTGTGCAGAAATGGGTGCGGTGGGCGCATGGGAGCGCAGCCACTGGGGCCTTCGCTGGAGCTCCCTATGGGGCCACGAAACGTGTGAGGGGTGTGCCGAAATGGGTGCGGCGGGCGCATGGGAGCGCAGCCACTGGGGCCTTCGCTGGAGCTCCCTATGGGGCCACGAAACGTGTGAGGGGTGTGCAGAAATGGGTGCGGTGGGCGCATGGGAGCGCAGCCACTGGGGCCTTCGCTGGAGCTCCCTATGGGGCCACGAAACGTGTGAGGGGTGTGCCGAAATGCAGGGGCCTTCTCCCTATGGGGCCACGAATGACGCGAATGATGATGATGATGATGATGATGATGATGGATGATGATGACATGATGATGCTGAATGATGATGATGATGATGATGATGATGATGATGATGATGATGATGATGATGATGGTGATGATGATGATGATGGCAGGAGGGAGGGGGCAGCGGGAGGAGGAGTGAACGCGGGGCGCTGTCTCTTCAAAACGAGGACCCAACACCACAGGATGGTTGGGAATCCTAAAAAATAGCAAGTTCCCCCCCCCTCCCCCAGCGTCGCGATTTGTTGCAAAGTCCCCCCCCCCCCGGCGTCGCGATTTTTGCAAAGTCGCCCCTCCCCCCCGGCGTCGCGATTCTTGCAATGTCCCCCCAGGGCCCCAGCGTCGCGAGTTTTGCAAAGTCCCCCCCCCCCGCTCCCCCAGCGTCGCGATTTTTGCGAAGTCTCCCCCCGCCCCCCTGCGTCGCCTTTTTCCAAAGTATCCTTTACCCTCTCTCCTCCCGCGTCGGGATTTCTATGGAATTGAGCCTTGAGCCCGCCCCTCATCGCTCCCGCGTCGGGATGTGCGTAGAACCCCGCCCCATTCCCGCGTCGCGAATTTGGCGCGCCCCAGATTCCATGGGGCCCAACCCGAGATTCTACTCTCCAGGCCCCAAAACTCCAAAAGAAAGCCTACGACGCTGGCAGCGCATTTCAAAACCCAAGCCGCCCCCCAAACCTCATATGGCTGGCCTATGGGCGCCTCAATGCGCCCCCCCATGGGCCGCCCCAACAGGGCGCCATCCCCCCCCCTTCCCCCTAATGCGCCCCCATGGAACTCTCGCATAGGATGCTGCCATCGGATGGCCCAATGAGATGCCCCCCATCTCAATGGACGCCCTCTAGGGAAGTGCGGACCCATGGGGGGCGGGAGCCGGCGGGGGCGGGGGCCCGGGCGGGAACCCATGCGGGGCGGGAACCAATGGGGGGCGGGAACTCATGGAGGGCTTGCGCCCGCGGGTGGTCATGGGGGGGCGGGGGCCTGCGGGGGGCGGGGCCCCATGGGGGGCGGGGACTCATGGGGGGCGGGGGCCCGCGGGTGGCGGGCGCCCATGGAGGGCGGGAACTCATGGGGGGCAGGTGCCCATGAGAGCGCGGGCCCATGGGGGGCGGGAATCCAAGGGGGCGGGGGCGCATGGGGTGCGGGAGCCCATGGGGGGCGGGTGCCCATGGGGGGGCGGGGGCGCATGGGGGGCGGGGGCCCATGGGGGGGCGGGGGCGGGTGCCCATTGGGGGCGGGAGCCCATGCGGGGCGGGGGGCCATGGGGGGCGTGAGCTCATGGGGGGCGGGAACCCATGGGGGGCGGGAGCTCATGGGGGGCGCGAGCTCATGGGGGGCCTGAGCCCATGGTGCGCGCGAGCCCATGGGGCGGGGGGGTTCGCGGGGGGCGGGGGCGCATGGGGGGCGGGGGCCCAGGGAGGGCGGGGGCCCATGGAGGCCGGGTGCCCATGGGGGGCGGGGGCCCATGGGGTGTGGGAGCCCATGGGGGGCGGGGGCCCATGGGGGGCGGGGGCCCATGGCGGGCGGGGGCCCATGGGGGGCGGGGGCCCATGGGGCGGGGGCCTATGGGGAGCTCCGCCCAAATTCGGCGCAACCATCACACGTTTCGTGGCCCCATAGGGAGCCCCACCAAAAGGCCCCAGCGCCGCCGCCTGCGCGCGTCCCCCACACCCAATTCAGCACACCCCTCACACGCTTCGTGGTCCCATAGGGAGCTCCGCCGAATGCCCCAGCGCCGCGGCCCGCATGCGTCCCCCACGCCCAAGGTGGCACGCCCCTCGCACGCTTCGTGGCCCCACAAGGAGCTCCACCGAAGGCCCCGGTGCCGCCGCCCGCATGCGCGCCGCGCGCTAGGTGTGGGCTCGCTTTTAACTTGGCCCCTCGTCGTGGGCCGCCCCCAGTCGCACTCTCTTTGTGCCCTAGTTCCTCTTCCCCAGACGCCTGGTTCTTTACGGCGGCTGACGACAGCGACAAGGGCGGCGAAGACGACGACTGTCGGCGATCTGCCTCCTCTCAGGGCTCTGCCCGTCTCACTTCATTTTGTTTAGGCCGATGTGCCGCAGCGTGAACTTCACGCCGCGCCCCGCGTCGGACAAAAACAACGTCCTCGTTCCCAGGATTTCACCTCCCAGCCCCCCCCGCCACCCTGGGGCCCCATTTTCAGTCGCCGCTTTGAGCCCTAGAGGATTTCATGTGTTTAGCTTTCAGTCGCCGCCTTGATGAGCGCGCCATCCATCCATCCATCCCCTTCGGGTCTTCCGTTCCGTTCTGTTCCACTCCCTTCTCCCTCACTCGCCCCGCCCTCTCTCATCCTCTTCTCTCCCTCTCCGTTCAAACTGGCTGCCATCCCTGTCGCTCATCGTCGTTCGTCGCCGCCCGCCCCTTTCCCGGGGCGGACTGCTTCGACAAGGACCGATGCTCCCTGCGCCCACGCTGCTATCCGATAGCCCCTCCCGCCCCCCTCCTCTCCAGGCCCCCTTCGCGAGCCCCCTCCCCATCCTCTTCCTCCGCCCCCAGTGGAGGGCAGAGGGCCTCATGGGCCTGAGGTTCTCTGACTCATGGTGGAGGAGGGCATGGAGAGTGAGGATGAATATTCGGATGTTGAGGAGGAGGGGGGAGGAGGAGGTGGGGCCAGGAGGAGGAGGAGGAAGAAGGCTGGCCGCCTATCCCACTCATACCTTTCGCTTGGCCATCTGGTCTCAGCATCGAAACGGGGTAAGAGGAGGAGGGATGCGACGGAAGCGGTGGTGTCCGTGATCGTGACCTTTCCGGCAAAGGCTTTAGTAGTCGTAGCAGGATTGGTGATGGTAGGGGTGACTGTCGTGCAATAGTGTAGGTTTGAAACTCGTTTCGAAACCGTAGGTTCTTGGGAGTGTTGGGGGAAACCTCAGCCATTTTCCCCTGCTCTTTTGAGTGGGGGGCTCAAGGGTGGCTCCCACAGCGGGCTCGCCCCGACGCGCGAGCCTGGGCCCCCCCGACGTGGGGCCCCGCCACGGGCGCACGGTGGCGCCCCATGCCGCTGCCAGTGGCCATGGCGCTGGTGCCGGCCCTGGCTGGCCTCCTGGCGCACGGGCGGCCGCGGGCGCTGCTGCCCCCGGCGCTGGTGCTGGCCCCGGCAGGGGCGCTGGAGTTCTGGGACGACTTCTGGGACTACGTGCATGATCGGCGCCGCAGGGCGGCGAAGCAGGCCAACGCCAGCAGGACGGACAGGAAGCAGAAGGCCAACCTCAGCATGGCGAACGAGAGCTCCTGCGGCGCCAACTCCAGCAACGTGACGAACGGGTCGGTCGGCCCGCCCGACGACGCGGGCCCGACTGACAACATTGGCGACGGGGACGGCTACGACGACAGCAACGACGAGTTCCCCGGCGTCTTCATCCTCGGGTACCGCTTCGTGGCCTCCTTCTTTGTCGTCGTGGAGGCCCCACTGGACGAAGGAGGATTCTTCAGCGACCCAGTCAGGCGAGCAGGCCGCTTTCTCTTCGGACCGAGCTGGGACACCTTCATCTTGGGCGGGCGGATTGCTTTCGGTGTGGTGCTCGTCCTTTTGTGCTTGACAATGTGTGTGTGGCTGATGGAGCTCATCCAGCGGGCATGCGTCCCTCTCTGTGCAGTGGCCAGTTTCCTCAGAGGCGCGTGCTGCCGCAGGGGCCAGCGTACTATACCTGTGACGACGGCCGACCAGATCAACCGCGACCCGCAGCAGGTTCAGCTCTACGGCCCGGGACTGGAGAAGGAGCCGCCGACGAACTTCTACCGTGACCTGAAGACCGCCCTCCGCGCGGGCAACCCTCGCCACGTGGTCTTCTCCGTGGACGGCCAGGTGGCGCGCGTCCCGCTCAAGTGGAGTGACGCGCGGACGAACGCCCACGGCCTGATCATCGACTACGACACCGTCTACGGGGCCACCTCACGGCGACTGAGGAAGGACCTGGAGAGGGCGGCCACCAAGAGGCTCCACCTCTGCCGCAAGGTGGGCCCCTGCCAGGAGTGCGAACCGCTGAAGGCCCACCTGCAGTCCTACGCGGTGGTCGCGGCCGACGCGGTGGTCGACCTCGACGACCTCGCCGAGCACACTCCGCTCGGCTGGTGCTGCGTCCGCACTTCGCGGGGCATCCGCGGGATCCCAGGCTGCGCCTGGGGCCTCATCCGAGGCGCCGGTGGCCTCTGCTGCCTCCCCTGCTGCTGCTGCCCGCGCCGCAGGCGCAAGCCCACGACGCCCGCGGAGGAGGGCCCCAGGCCGCGCGACGAGTCGGACACCGAGGACGAGGGCATCCCCTGCATGGCCCATCGGGTGGGCTGGCGGCACGCCGAGACGGGCCGGGTCACGCTGCTGGCCCCGCGGGTGCAGTGTGGCGACAAGGCGCTCGAGGAGAACACCACGCTCCTCACCGACGACGCCCGCGTCAGCCCCCTGACCGCCGGGACGCAGCAGGAGCAGGCCTCCCTCTGTGCCCACCACGCTGCTTTGTACCAGGGGATGCGGCGTGCGCAAGGCTGCGCCAAGGCCAAGTGCAACTCCCTGGGCTACGCACGGCGCGACGGCATCATGCTGTGCAAGCCGCGCTACGACGAGAGCCAGCAGGAGAAGCGCCGGGAGGCGCAGGCCCTCCAGGAGGCACGCGACGCAGCCCTTTCCACCACCTTGGCCCACGCTGGGTCCCAGGGCACGCCGCCCCAGCCGCCGCCGCCTCAGCACGAGGGAGCAGCTCCGGGGCCCCCCTCGCCCCGTCCCCCGCAGCCCCCTCCCGGTGAGGCCCCCCGGGGGGGCGGGAGCCAGTCGAACCCCCGGCTCTCCATCGCCGAGCTCGTCTCCCGCCTCGACGGCGCCGACGGGGCCCCCACCAGCGCGGTGCCCTCTCCGCCGAGCGGGATGGAGTGCCTGCGGGAGTACCTCCGCGACCGCGAGCTCCACCCCGAAGAGGGAGACGCCGGCGCCCAGGAGAGGCTCCTCAACCGGTACGACTGGGACCAGACCCAGGACGTGCTGAAGGTGCTGCTGCGAGGTGCTGAGGAGTACGAACGAGATGGGGGGCGCGGTCTGCGCGCGCTCGAGGGCGAGTGGCGCAGCCAGCTCCGCCGACTGCGCGACGGCTACCAGGAAGAGGTGCGCCCCACCTTGGCTCCGCCCGCACCGCAGGCCCCCCCGGGCCTCACAGCGAGCATCGCCCACCCCTTCGGTGGCGGCGCCCCCACCTGGGGCGTAGGCCCCGCGCCTGCGACGAGCCCTGCAGCCCCGCGGCCCCTGCTGCCGCCTGGCGCCCCCGCCGCCTCTGCGCCGCTGCCCTCTCTGGTCGGGCGTGGCAGGACCGACCTCTACCACAACCTGGTGGGCCCCATCCTGGCCGACGGGACGCGGCACGCCCCCCCGGGCGAGCGACGCGCTGGGGTCGGAGGGGAGATCGGCCCCACCGGCGACAGCGAGATGGCAGCCGCCCTCAAGGACATCGGTCTCGGCATCGAGAGCCTCGTCAAGCACAACAGTGAATCCAAGAGCTCCAAGGGCACGCCGCAGGGCTTAGGACGAGAGGAGACCAGGGCTTAGGACGAGAGGAGACGGCCCTCGTCTTCCTCGCGCGGGCCTGCAACCGCTTCAACGTCCAGGTCTGCCCCTCCTACACAGGCACGTCCCTCTACCATGCCATCAAGGAGGCCTTCGTCACATCGAAGGGCGAGCTCTCGGGCCTCGGTTGGCCCACCTGCGTCACGTCACGCCTCGCCCTCGGACTCGCAGGCCTGTACTTCGGCGCGCGGGACCAGCACTCACTTCTACCGCACTACTTGAGCGTGGCGGACTTCCCGAAGCACTCCCAGGAGGAGCACGACAACCACGTAGTCCCCCAGGACGACCGCCTCGAGGCCCGCCCCCGGGCTCCCGCTACGCTGGCCCAGTGGGTGAAGCAGGCGCAGAACCACGCCAGATGCTTCGCGCTGATCTACGGTTGGGAGCACTACCAGGAACGAGCCGACGCCATCGAGAAGCTGGAGAAGCTGGCCGAGGAGGACTCCGACGTCTTTCCCCGCGAGCGCATCTACGGCTGGTTCGAGGAGCTCAACTGGCGCTGGCGCGAGGATCTCAAGGACGTATACCGCCAGCTCCTTCGGATATCGGGCAAGGAGTGGCTACGCAAGGAGCAGATCGAGTTCATGGCCCTCACGCCCGACAGTGACGGCAACCCTCTCCTGCGCATGCCGACTTGTTTCAAGCTCGACCTGGAGGACGCCTGGTTCAGGAAGACCATCCTGCCACACCTGGAGCGGCAGCACAGCCGGACACTCTGGCGTCTCACGCACAAGGCCCTGAAGGCACCAGGAGATGCTCGAGGCGCAGGTGCCGAACCAGGAGCCGAGGGGAGCCCCCGCAGGGCCTACCCCGCGGGCAAGCGCCTGCCGCCCCGGGAGGCCGCCGAGTCGGTCACCCACGCACCCATCGATGAGATAGCCAAGAAGCCCTACTGCTGGGGCGCGGCCACGCACTGTGGCTGCCAGCGGACAGCTGCCGAGTGCGGCCACTCGCATCGCCCATTCAAGGGCACCCTCCAGCAGCAGCATTGGACAGTGCAGGCCCAGCTGATACGCCGCGGGGGCTTGAAGGGTGACAAGCCCATCCCCCCGACCGAGGTCGACGGCCGCATCAAGCAGCTTCGGGAAGCCGCTCACGAGGAGGCAGCCCAGAAGGTCCGTGAAGGGGTGGCCCGCCGAGGGCAGGCAGGCCGTGGCGCCGGCGACGCCTCAGGGGCCCCCCCGCGGGGCATCAGGTGGGCTCCCCCGGAGGAGCTCGTCAGCTTCGCCCCCGCAGCAGCCGAGAACGAGCTCACGGAGACCTTGCGCGGCCCGGACTACGACTGGGAGCGCGACGTCGACCCCCCCGGGCCTGACACCGCGAGAGCCGTCGAGGACACCACCGCCGAGTCCCCCGAGGACGTTGGAAGAAGGCGCGAGCAGATCGCGAAGATCGCCTCGCTCCCCGAGGTAGGTCCGCTCGAGCAGTGCAGCCATCACCTCCAGTCCTACGTCAAGGGGCGCCTCCTCCACAGCTCGCTCAGGGGCGAGGACATCACTGTCGAAGGCGTGCTGGACGAGCTCGTCCGCGGAGGCCCCGCCGCGCTCGCCGAGGAGGCGGGCGACTACCTGGATCAGCTCCGGCGCGCAGGGGGGGGCCACCTTGGACCCGGCTCGGGCTACGCCGAGGTTCTGCAGCCCATCTGGCCCGCGGACGGGGGCTGCGGGATCGGCAAGCTCCTCGTGGCCGGCCTCGAGCTGGAGACGGCAGACTACCGCGACTCCATCCACGTGTCGCCCGGCCTCCGCGAGGCCCTCCAGCTCGGCGACCAGGAGCTGGAGGAGCGCCAGTGCATGGTCATCCACATCGCAGCCGGCCTCCTCGACATCGAGGCCACGAGAGGGGACGCCCAGGCGCCCGACGCCGCCTGGCCCCCTCCCACCACGGACACGCTTGCTCTCGCAGCCGACCTGAGGGAGGAGCTCTGGGCAGGGGCCTCCGAGGCCACCCGCGCCCTGGGCGAGACCCCAGAGAAGCTTGACAGAGCCGAACGTGAGGTGCGGGGCTACATGCACGACGTACTCCACCCTCATCATAATAAGGACTACCGTTCGCTTTGTGCGTTCCCGCTCGAGCCCCTCAGCAACGTGGTCCTCAATTTCATTCGGGTCGACTCCCTGGGGCGCGTCAACTTCGAGAGCGTGTCAGGAGCAGCGGCCAGCCCAGAGTCACCGCACTGCTGGTTGCTCATCCACCGACGGCACATGCGGCTCATCAAGCTCGGGCCCGACATCGACCGAGCCACACTGTTGGCGGACTTTGCCCAGCATGCCAGCACCTGGGGGGGCAGCCCGCCGACCGACTACGTGGCCATGGGCTGGGAGGTTCTCCTCGACCAGGCGAAAGAGTGGGCGCCCGAAGCGTTCACCCCCCAGCCCAGGACCTGCCTTTGCTGCAAGTACATCAAGAACAGGCAAGGAGACGGAGCACGTGTCGCCGGGGACGTGGCCCCCCTGGAGCCCCTCAACGACGACTACACCTTCCTGACGATCGCCGGCTGGGGCCTCCAGGCTTGGAGCCCCTACTGCAGAAAGGAGCACCCTATCCCCGAGTCCGTCACCGTCCCGGGGGACAAGCTCATCGCCCAGGAGATCATGGCGGGCACTGGGCGGTGGACTCAGGCCTGGAGGTCCCGCGGCCTGGAGGCCAGGGATCCCATCGAGTACTACGAGGATCCTCTGAGGAAGCAGGGGCCCCGCGAGGACCACAACGTGCTCCTCAAGCCGGTACAGGACCGCCTCCTCGAGGACATCAGCAGGGGCGACGTGAACGTCATCGGTCTCGAGCCCGTGTGCACCAGCTTCTGCTCTTGGATGCGTTGCAATGGCGGGACGCGTACCGTGGCCCAGCCAGAAGGCGTCGAGCCCCTCCTCGCCTCCGAAGTCACAGGCAACACAATAGCGGAGTTCTCGGCGCGAGCTTTCAAGAAGGCTCTCGACATGCAGAAGTTCGCTTGGGCCGAGAACCCAGCCCCCGACGGGATCTACCCCTCTATCTGGGATACCAAGTGGTGGAGGCCGCTCCTCGACCGCAAGGACGTGATGATTATCCCCTTTGATTTCTGCGAGCACGGCCACGGCCCCGAGGACGACCCCACGGCGCGCTACCGCAAGCGCACGTGGATCGTCGCCCGTGCCTCGCAGCAGTTTGCGCGCTGGATTGCCAAGCGGTGCTGCGGGCAGCATCGCCACGTGTCGCTGGAAGGCCATGCTCCAGGTTCGGCTATCCGGCGCTGCCGCACCTCACAGGTCTACCCCTGGCCGTTCGTCGAGAACCTCACCCAGGGCATCCTGGCGGGCGTCTTACCAGGAGGCTTGCGCACCTCAGGGTGCGAGACTACCGATGTGCTGGACGGTGGGGAGGCCCCCCCCCTTGCTTCAATTTCGGCGAGCTCATTGGATTTGCAAGGAGGGATGGCACAGGAACCGAGGCCGCCCGACGACAGCGCGAGGCGCGTGGGCGACTCGGGGGAGGCCAGGGCGCTGATCAGGCGCTTCGCCCTCGCCTACGTCGCCTATGCCAAGGCCCAGCCGACAGGCACGGTGGACGCCTGGAGGGGAGCCGCCGCTCGTGGCGAGGCACTGGTGGAGCTGGCGGGCAGCGTGGAGGAGGGCGCCCGCGCCCTCTTCAAGGCTAGGAGCGACCTGGGCCTGGACAACCTGAAGGGCATCTTCGACTCGGACCTGGACCGCCACCTGGCCCTGGACGCGCTGCTGTACTTGCGGGACCAGGCCGGGCACGGCGTGGCCGCGAGGGACACGGGCATCAAGGTGAGAGAGGAGTGCAAGCCACATCAGAGCGCAGCTGACGTCTTGGACCAGTGCTACGAGGGCTCCTGGAAAGACGTCCACGCCGCCCGTGTCCTCGTCCTCCCCAGGCGCCGACGCGACCTCCTACAGGGGGTCCGCTCCTCACCGCAGGGAGCGGTCCCCAAGCAGAACCCCGATAGGACGCTCTCCCTGGAGAAGAGGCTCATCCACGACCAGAGGCGCGTCAACGAGACCACGGACAAAACATGGCACCCTCCCGCGGCACAACCGTTCCATCGACAGCTCGCCAGGTTGATCGTCTGGTGGTCAGTGGTGCTACCGCGTATCCCCATACTCCTATCGAAGCTGGACGTCAAGGGAGCCTTCAAGCTGCTCTGGGTCGACCCCCAGGACGTCGGCACCTTCGCCACCGACCTCCCTTGGCACCCGGAGGCCTGCTCAGCGCCCAGGGACCCTGAGGAGGCCCCCGCACCGCAGACGACCGACCCGGACACGCAGCTCGACCAGCAGGTGCAGCTTTGCCTGGATAGGGGCCTCACCGAGGGCCTCACGCTCATCTCACTGGTTCTCACCTTCGGCTGGGCTGGAAGCCCAGGCGAGTGGACACCTTGGGGCGACAGCGTCGCAGCGGTCCACAGCCAGCATGCGCCGGGGATCCCGGCTTGGGAGGGGCCCTTCAAGTTCCAGTCGTACATTCTCATGGACGACCTCGTCTTGGTCGAGCCCGCCCTTGGCATGCGCCCCTGGACGTCCAGATCGCTGGCCGAGAAAACCATCGAGAAGCTGCTGGGCCCAGCCGCCGTCAACCAAGACAAGAAGCACCAGGAAGGCTACTTCTCGACGAACAAGATCGTTTGGGGACTGGAGTACCGCACCGACGAGATGCAGGTGGCCATCCCCGAGCCGCGGCTATTGAAGGGTGCCTACCTACTTAGCGACACGTGCTACGACAGCGGCTACAAGGGCGCGAGGCTCCGCGACATGCAGGTGTTGAGAGGCACGGGCACCAGCTGGATGGCGGCCATGCCGGCTCTGGCGACCGAGCTGAGAGCAGTGGACGCCTTCCTTACGCCACAGGCCGACGGGATTCTGAGGCCCAAGGTCGAGCCGGGGGCGGAGGAAGCAGCATGGCAGGACCTGTGGGGCACTTGCGAGCTACTACGACTCCTCCTCGCCCGGCCCGAGGTATGGGGCGAGCGCTTCACCGTCTCCATGTACACTCTCCTGGACGTGCGCGAGCGCCTCGCGCTGCCCGGCGAAGCAGCCAAGGTCGTCTGGGTCACCACCGACGCCACCACGTCCGTTGCCTTCGGCGCCGACTGGACCGAGAAGATCTACCTGCGGCAGGACCTCAAGGACTACAAGGGCATGCTCGGCGAGGCCCTCGGCGACTCCGACGACAGCACGGTCGAGATCGCTCTCGGCGAGGCCATGGCTTACATCGTCCTAGCCGGGCGTCAGGGACCATCGTGGAGCGGACGCATCGTGCTCCTGGCAACGGACAACATGGTATTCACGAACTGGCTCAAGAAACGACACCCTCGACCTCGACTCGTACGCCACCTTTTTAGGATTCTGCACTACCTTGAGTGCAAGTACAACTTCATGACGATCGGCCATTTCTTCCGTACCTACCACAACGTCACGGCGGACTTCGGCTCCAGGGCCAGCCAGGAGGAGGTCAAGCGCCGCATGGACGAGCTGGGCCTCTCGAGCGTCGACGCGGCGCACGAGTGGGCGGACCTCGTCGCTAACGGAGTTCGCCGCAGGGTGCTCCGCTTGCTTGGCGGCGACGCCGAAGACGGCCGGATCGCCCTCCAGCTCCGTGAGGCCCGCCTGAAGAGGAGGTTCAGAGAGGTCCCCCTCGCCACGGCCCCGGGGAGGGCCCTCGAGTGGGGCCTAGGAGCAGGTTTCTTCTCCAAGATCTGGACGGGCCTGGGGGGCACGGCGCACACCGCGCCCATCGGCGAGGACCCAGACCCCAGCGCGGGCCCCGTCTGGGCGATCCTGGCGACGCTGAGCCCAGACCCCACGGGGCGCAGCGCCTGCAAGGCGGCCAGGCAGGCCGCCCGCCTGGGCGCCCAGCGGATCGCCCTCGACGCCCCGCGGCAGCTGCCTCTGGGCGAGGCCGCTCGCAGTCTGCAGGAGCAGGGCTTCACGGTGAGCACCGAGGACCTCCTCGCGACCGAGGTCGGGGAGCTGGTGGCGCGCCGTCGTGCCCTCCTGCTGGGCACGAGGCACGTGGGCGACGAGCAGCAGGCATGGACGTTCGACACCCTCGACCTCAGGCGCCCGATCGCGCCCGCGGTTGGCCCCGTGCTGCAGCCCCCGAGCGCACTGCCGCCCGACGCATGGCTGCTCCACGCCCGCTTCGAGGCCGACCCCCGCATGCGGAGAGCGGAGGACCGGCTCCTCCCAGTGGGCGTCGGCCACCTCTGGACGGACAAGGGACGCGAGGTGGTCTACAGCACGGGCGGACCCCTCCCGACCATCCAGGCCGACTGGACGACACACCCACCGCCCCTGATCCGGGACTTCAAGGGCCCGGGGCACGGGGTCAGGCGCGTCACGCTGGAGGAGAGCTGGCTCGCCGTGGGTGGCACCCTAGAGGACTTCCCCACGCCCCAGGACGACGCCACGGCCGCACATGTCACGAGGCTCATCGCGGGCGACACGGGGGCCCGACTCGCCGGCGCCGTCGCCCTCTGGGCGGGAGCTGCACTTGACTGGGAGGCGAGTGCAGGCGCTTGCTTCGACCTCGACGCGCAGGCCAAGGAGCGTGGCATGCGCGAATGGCTCGCACGCTGGAGGCAGGGTCTACTGCCCGGGCGCCCGCCACCGGCCCCCCTCCCGCACGCCGCGCCGGGGCTACCGCCAGCACACCCCGGAGAGCCTGGCCGCCACGCAGGCGGCAGCACCCCGGGAGAGGGGGCCGACTGCCGCCCCCCGACGCGCTGCGCCATCTTCCGCCCGGCTGACGGGGGTATCGACGCACGCGCGGCGGCTCTCGCGGCGGGCCTCGTCTGGCAGGACATGGGCGGCACCCAGGACGAGCACGACGCCGCTCGCGCCGCAGGGGCGTCGGCACTGCCCGAGATCGCCAGGCCCCCTCGCAAGCAGAAGATGCCCCAGCTGGGACTTGTCTCCATTTCGGCCCCCGAGCACCTCGTCGACCTGGCGCCGGACGTCCCGGTGTTCGCAGAGGTCCAGGAGTGGGTCCACAAGAAGTTGGCCAGCGGGCTGGCGCACAGCACCCGCACCAGCTACGGCGAGGCCTGGTCCAAGTGGCTCTGGTGGTGCACCCGCAGGGGTATCCCGCCGCTGTTCGAGGGCGACTCCAAGAGGCAGGTGACCGAGGACGAGGAGGAGCTCCTGCGCTTCATCGGCTACCTGGGCTGGCTGGGCAAGGGCAACGGCACCATCCTCAGCACCCTCTTTGCACTCCAGGGCGGCCACGTGCGGGCAGGAGGCGGCGACCCTCTCGTCGGGAAGAAGCGCATCAAGGTCCTCATCGACTCACTCCAGAAGGGCGGCCCGAAGGAGGAACGCAAGCTCGGCGTCACGCCGCGCATGATGATCTGGCTGAAGAAGGAGCTCAGCCCCACCCCGCCGTGCCAGGGAGAGAGGGCCACGAGGGGGCCTGACTTCGACTCGGTGGTGCTCTGGGGGGCCCTCTGCACGGGCTTCTTCTACCTCTGCCGCGCGAAGGAGATCGTCGACAGCGGAGGCGTCGATGAGCAGATGTGCCTGCGCGGGGTCGATGTGGCATTCCACGACAAAGAAGGAGGTGCTGCAGCTCCTGGAGTAGGCTCGGCAGCCAAGGCCCTGATCACTTTTCGCAAGACCAAGACGGACCAGCGGGCGTTCGGAGCATGCAGGACTCACCACAGGGCCGAGGCGGAGGTCTGCCCTGTGGAGGCCCTGGAGCTCCTCCGCCTTCACGCGCCCGAGCGCTTCCAGGAGGGCACCGAGGGCCGCCGCCCGCTCTTCCGCTGGGCCTCGGGCCGCATGGTCAAGCGGGAGCAGCTCCAGGCCGCGCTGCAGCGAGCTGCTGCGGCGGAGGGCCTGCCGCCGAAGCGCTTCAAGAGCCACTCCCTCCGCATCGGAGGCGCCTCAGCGCTATGGCACGCGCTGGGCGACGCCGAGGCGGTCAAGAGATGGGGTCGCTGGAGCTCGAACGCCTTCCACGGCTACCTCTACGACTCGGAGGAGCAGTCGAGGGGCGTCGCGGCGGCCATGGCCCGCGACGTGGCCACGCTCCACGCGGCATGACGGACGATGGCGGGTGGGCCACCTGGCCAGAGCGCGGCACGGCAGAGGCCGTGCTCAGAGCGGCCAGAGCAGGGCCGCTCAGACGGAGGTGGAGCTGGTCGCACCTCGTGCTGCAAAATGCGGGGTGAGTGACGCTCTCTCACCTCTCTTTTCTCCTCTTCTCCCCTCCGGCCCTGGGGGGCTCTTTCCCCGGGCCTGGCCCTCGTGGGCCCTCTCCCCGGGGCCTCCCCGGTGCCTTTGGGGCGCCTTCCCTCCTTTGCTCTCCTCGGCTTAGGCTTCGCCACCGCCGCCAGTAGTTAGAAGTTTTGGGCTCGTTAACTCGTTAACTTGCTGAGTTTTGGTAGCGACCAATAACGTGTAGGTTTGAAACTCGTTTCGAAACCGTAGGTTCTTGGGAGTGTTGGGGGAAACCTCAGCCATTTTCCCCTGCTCTTTTGCCCACCCAGGGACCCTCAAGAGGCTCCTCCCACCCTAGGGCTGCCGGTCCCCCGCCTGCGTGCACGAGGTGCGCGGCGGGTGGGCCACCTGGCCAGAGCGCGGCACGGCAGAGGCCGTGCTCAGAGCGGCCAGAGCAGGGCCGCTCAGACGGAGGTGGAGCTGGTCGCACCTCGTGCTGCAAAATGCGGGGTGAGTGACGCTCTCTCACCTCTCTTTTCTCCTCTTCTCCCCTCCGGCCCTGGGGGGCTCTTTCCCCGGGCCTGGCCCTCGTGGGCCCTCTCCCCGGGGCCTCCCCGGTGCCTTTGGGGCGCCTTCCCTCCCTTGCTCTCCTCGGCTTAGGCTTCGCCACCGCCGCCAGTAGTTAGAAGTTTTGGGCTCGTTAACTCGTTAACTTGCTGAGTTTTGGTAGCGACCAATAACGTTGTGAGGAGAAAGTAAGCGCGCGCGCGAAGCGCGCGCGGTTGCAGCGAGGAACATTCGGAGCAGGTGGTGCAGCAGAAAGACGTGGACGATGCCTCTGGCTGTCATTTCGTGACTTCCGACAACGCTGTCAAAATCATCACGACATCGGATCTCTGCGTCGCCTTCGACGTCGCTGTCGCTGTCGGCGCTGTCTTCGCCGACGGCGTTGTCGTCGCCGCCACCGTTGTCCTCGTCGTCGTCGTCGTCGCCATTACTGTTGTCTTCATTTTTGTCGCCGTGCTCGCTGGCATCCCAGCACCCCTGCCGATGCCCCTGCGGCAGCGATGACCGCGTCTCCAGTGGCGGGTTTTTGTTCGGCCAACGCGCATGGAAGTGGCAGGAACGTCGAAGGAGAGCGCCGCTATCCTGCATCGGCCACAGACCCCGTCTAATGAACATCCATCGCTGGTCCCCGTGAAAAAAGGATCCTGGAGGAAACAGCATTTCGGACAGCAACGCCTCATGGCACTGGAAACATTCGGTTCTTGCTGGCTTTGGCCGGACATAAGAGGATCCTGGCATTCGTGGAGCATTTTGGGGTGTTGTGTTGGATGCCGAAGTTGGAGACTGGTGCCTGTCTTGCTCCAGACTTCGCTGGAGGCTCTCGTCGAGGGCCCGAGCGCCCGGGGAGGTCGGAGACCGGCTCGCGTGTGTCATCCCATTGTCAGTCTACCCCTTTCCGCTTCACTGATAGCATGCAGCCCGTGTCGGCCTTCGCTATACCGCGGTGTGCCAAAAGGAGCCCCCTGAGGGGCCACGAAATCTGTGAGGGGCGTGCCAAAATGGGGCGGTGGCGCCATGCGAGCTGCGCCACTTGGACCTCAGGTGGAGCTCCCTGAGGGGCCACGAAACGTGTGAGGGGTGTGCCAAAATGGGGCGGTGGCGCCTCGGCGCTTCCGCCGCGCCTTCACGGCGCCACGCGCGCGGAGCCGAGGCTCCGGGGGGACGCGGCCACCCCCAATCCGCCCACATGAGCGAGGGGCCCGCTGTCTGGTGCCAGTCGCCGAGCTGTTGGCGGTGCATCGCCGACTCCAGGTCGCCGTTTCCCTTTCTGAGCGGGTCCTCCCCCAACGTGGCCCCTCGCTCCCCATAGCTCCCACTGGCGTTCCCAAAAGGGTCTGAGCTTGTCCTCCCCCAACGTTGCCCCTCGCTCCCCGTAGCTCCCACCGGCGTCCCCAAAGGGTCGCCCAAAAGACGGCCTCAGAGGGACCGCGACGCGCTTCGCGAGGCCTCGGAGATGGACCGACTGTTCATCATGATAGCTCCTGAGATCTCCAAAGGTTCAAAAGGTTTCGATCCGTGCCATTTTGCTTGGGGCAGCTCTTTTTTTTTTTAGCTCCAGCACCCCCATTTGGGCGAAGCACCCTGCGCTAAGCTGCAGGCTCTTCACTCGAGGCCCCGCAGTGATGGCGAGCCTCGCGGGCGACAATCTCCCGGCCGTCAGCGAGCAGCGACCAAGGCCAGCGTTGGCGTGGGCGAAGGCATCCGCCGCGGCGCCCGCACCGAGGCAGCCCTCGACTCCCAGGATGGCCCGCGGGCGCCCCTTCGGAGCGGGTCGCTGGGGGCCTTTCCTCGACTCCGACAGGATCCGCAGGCCTCACGCGCTCCAGCTTCCCGGGATCTCGGCTGCGCCGGACTTCGGAGACCTGCCCTATGCGAGGAGGCCTGAGCCTCTCCTGGGCAACCGCACGTCGCGCCAGCTCGTGGCTGGAGCCTTCACGGCGCCTAAGTCGTTGCCGGGAGTGGAGCTGGCCGGCAGCGGGGCAGTGGGCAACCAGACGATTGACATCGACCACACATCCGTCGTCTCCGTGGAGCCCACGATGCCTTCCAAGGCCTGCGACGGGCTCCATCGGCCCATGCCCCCGGGAGAGGCTCGAGGGAGGAAGAACGGCATCAGCAGAAATTGCAGGCGCTCCGCGCGGGCTTCTTGGATCCGCGCTGGGACCCCTCCCCCTGGTGCGCGGAGCGCGCCAGGGGCGGCGCTGGCCCAGCGCGGATCCAAGAAGTCCGCGCGTAGCGCCGACAGTTGATGTCTATAGTGCTTTTTCGTCCTCTGGAGGCGGCGCCCGCCCAGGCCCGCCCCCGCCCTCGCCGCCCGTGCTCTGCGGGCCCCGGGCAGTTCGGCAGCGAGCCGGCCAGGCCCACGCCCCCGGGAGAGGCTCGAGGGAGGAAGAACGGCATCAGCAGAAGCTGCTGGCACTCCGCGCGGGCTTCTTGCGTCCGCGCTGGGACCCCCCTCCCTGGCGCGCCAGGCGCGGCGCCGGGGGCGGCGCTGGCCCGGCGCGGAGCCCAGAAGTCCGCGCGGAGCGCCAGCAGCTTCTGTTCTGTATGCCGCCTTGTCGCCCTCGGGAGGCGGCGCCCGCCCAGGCCCGCCCCCGCTTCGCCGGGAGGGCGCTGTCGGCGACGGGGGGCGCCCGCGTGCCGCGGGCCGCCGAGGCGCAGCTGCTCGAGCAGCCGGGCGGCGCGCGGCCTCTCGGGCGGAGTGAGAGGCCGCGGGCCGCGCCGCAGGCGATGGGCGGAGGCCGCCTCTCGGGAGGCGATGCGTGATGATTGAGTGGCCTGCGCCGGGGCGCCGACCCCCCCGAGATCCAACGCGTGGGACAACAGCAGGACGGAGGTTCGTCCCAGTTTTCGGCCTCGCAGGGGCCCTCGCCCGGCAAAAAGCAGCTCGGGATGAAGAACCGGTCCTGGGGAATGGGCCGAGACTTCCGGGGACCCCGTATTGAAAGAATCACGACATCGGATCTCTGGGCCCCACGTGTTTGAGATGATCGTGGAAGTCATGTCTTGGGTCAGGAGCCTCCTGGATGAATCCGAGGGTCTCTTTGGGGAGGTGATCCGTGATTCGGAGTGCCGGGGGGGCAGCGGGGGGTGGGGGATCGTGAATGGGCTCCCGGGGTCTTGGTGCTGCTTTGTTGATCCGTTTTGTTTTCGACGATGGCCAGCCGCAGGGGTGCTCGTCCTTCGGGAGGTGATTCATGCTTTTGAGTGTCGGGGGGATAGCGGGGGGGGGATCGTGAACGGGCTCCCGAGGTCATGGTGCTGCTTTGCCGATCCGACGATGGCCAGTCGCAGGGGTGCGCGTCCGTTCTTCGGGAGCTCTTCTGGAGGGTCCCGTGGGGGCTCTTTGTTTTTTTTTAGCCCTGTTGGGATGGATGGTCGTGTGCCGCATAGCCAACAAAAGAGGACAGCATTTTTGTTCGCCCACCCCCTGGAAGGCCAGAATCCTTCAGAAGGAGCATTCATGTTTTTGGTTTGGCGCTCTAACCCCTCGGGACCACCCCGCGTCCAGACCCAATGGGGGGGGTAATTTGGGGGAGGGGTCAAGACACCTCTCCCACACGCAAACTGTTCGGCTCACTCCCACCCGCCCTCCCAACACATAGTCTGAAGTAGTACCCGAGTCTCAGCATATTCAGCGGTCGTCTTTGGATGGACAGCTACTGGGAACCAACGCAGACCCCAGGAGCGCGACGCTGGGGCGAGGTGCGCCACGCGTGCCAGGCGCGCCTGAGGCCCAAGCGTGCCAGGCACGCCTGGTGCGCCACATGCGCCACGTGCTCCACGTGCGCCAAGCGTGCCGCATGCCCCAGCCGCGCCAGGTGCGCCACGCTTGGGCTCCTCTCCTCTCCTCGCCTCGCCTCGCCTCGCCTCGCCTCGCCTCTCCTCTCCTCTCCTCTCCTCTCCTCTCCTCTCCTCTCCTCTCCTCTCCTCTCCTCTCCTCTCCTCTCCTCTCCTCTCCTCTCCTCCTCCTTCTCCTCCTCCTCCTCCTATTCCTCTCCTGCTCCTCCTCCCCCTCCTCCTCCCCGTCCTCACTCCCCCCCTCCTCCCTCTTATGTTGGCACACCTCTCACACGCTTCGTGGCCCCGTAGGGAGCTCCACCGAAGGCCCCAGTGTCAGTGTTCGCATGCGTCCCCGCACCCGAGTCGGCACACCCCTCACACGTTTCGTGGCCCCATCGGGAGCTCCAACGAAGGCCCCTTTGGCGGTGTTCGCATGCGTCCCCGCACCCGATTCGGCACACCGCTTGTGATATGGATCGGCGCGCAGCGCCGGGGATGCTTTTGCTGTGAGCGCGGCTCGAGCAACTGGCGTAGCACTAAGGCCAAGGGCCCTGAGAAATGAAAATGGCAGCGGCGAGCAAGGAATGAAACCGCAAGCCCCTCGAGGCTTCTGGGGAAACCCTCTCGGGCCTCTTACATTCCTGGGGAGTGAGCTTGATTCACACTCCTCCTAGGACATGCTCGGATCGCCGTCTCGGGCGTTAGAGCGGGGACTATAGCAAACAAGTCACTCGCGGGCAACAAAAACAACGGAGATAAGCAAACAAACGGCTTGCATTGTATATCATGCAAGGTATACTCAGCAATGGCCAGGGTTCGATCGCGATGCGACTAAACGGGTGTGATCGTCATCACAAACAAAAAGCTGTGCGCACTGAAACGAATGAAGCTTCTCGAGAAAAACGCGGAGTTATGTGTGGATCTGTATCCGGGTGTAAAAACACATCAATCTCGGAATACGTGAATCTCGACCGGGCGTAGTGTTGGCAACGATGCGGAATCCATAAATCTTGACCGGGCGTATATGGGCGGTAGAACATTTCGGGCCCGATCGGCCAAATTGCCGTCAAACTTCGCAAATCGGATCCCCGCCAAACATCTCTGCCTGTGAGCTTCACCAGCGGCCCTTGAGGTCATTCATCACACTCTCCGGGAAGATCGTGAAATCGGGATTTCCGAAATGGTAATGCCGAAGCAGTCACGAAGCGTGCTTCTTGCAGGTCTTGCAAGTGATGTATACACTATGCGGGTTGTGGCCGATGACCACATCATGATGAGGAATGCCAGTCACGCAACTGAGCATGTCATTCGGCTGCACCGTCGGGGAGGATCCGCTCCATGACACAATACTGGCTGATGAGGCTGAAACGGAACTCGATGAACTCTTCACGGAAACCACGGTTGGGGATGCGGGAGCCGAACTTCCCTGCGACCTTGTTGATTTTGATTGCCCAAATCCCCGTGCTGATGCTGCGGCATATGGTGATGGCGGTGGTGGTGCGATGGCAGGCGGTGGTTCTGTCGGTACCTGCGGTGGTGGCGGCTGCTGAATCGTAGCAGATGCTACTGAACTCGATGCCTGTGCGCTGCTGAAAACGTCCGCATGGGACATCGTGATGTCGCCATCGTGATCTCGATCCTCTGGAATCGTAGGTGGTATGATGCGGCGTCTGCCGAGCTTGCGGCCGTCCCAGCCAGGGTGCTTGCCCATGGCCTTCGCGTCGGCGGCGCTCTCCTCGTTGGCGATCGCGTTGTTCTGCTTAAGGATCGTCCAGAACGTCATGAAGTGTCGAAACCGATAGTCATGCCGAGGACCAGCGTGAACGTCAGCAGGCAAATATAGAAGCTGTAGTCCGGCATAGTCGGCGTGGGCGTAGGCTGTCTCTTGACCTTGCCGAGGCAGGTGAACAGGACTGATGCGAGCATGGCAGCGTGTGGCTGCCGTGTCCCACAGGTGTGTTTGCGAGCCCCGATGAACGACAGCAGGACGCCCGCCTCCATCGTCTTCGTCAAGGCGTCCGCGACCATGGCCCAGGTCGGGATCCAGCTGAGCTTGAGCGCGCTGTTGGGGTGCACGGCCTCCTTGATCATGGCGGCGACGACGCGGAACCGCTTGTCAGTAGACTGGCCCACATCTGAAGCGATGGGCGTCACGAGACCCTTGCTGTCGCTGTAGATCACCCCAGGGCGCTCGTCGGCGAGCACGTCGATTTGCTTGAGCGCCGTCTTGGGGTTGTAGGCCTCGGTCAGCAGCTGTTGGAACCACATGTTGGTCTCCGACCCCTCGAGGGTAGCGTAGCCCTCGGCAGCGAGGACGACGTCACGCGGGCGATGGGTGAGCCCCATCACCATGCCCCACTGGCTCTTGGCGCCGTCCACGATGGCGAACGCGGCATCGCTGAAGCGCGCGGTGATGGCCGTCTTCAGGTCGACGAGCTTGCGCTTGAGTACGATCGCGAAGTTCGCGGTGGAGTGCACATGTGCGACCGTCTTGTTGAGCGTCTTCGCGTTGGCCACGGTGGCGACGTTGGTGCGTCGAGCTGCAAAGCTCACCGGGCAGGCGATGCCCACCCGGGTCTGCATTGCTAGCCACAACAGGTGCCCGAGCGTGTGGCGGTAGCTCGTCACCTCGGTGGCGGTGAGTCGGTCCTCAGCTCCTCGGCCCTTCTGGGCCTTCAAGTCGACGTAGTCCACCTGTGCGGCAGCGGTGGCCTGGGTTACGCGGAACTCGTCGTCGAGCTTGGTAATCGTACGTCCGCAGTACTTGATGCCCCCTTCAACTGGCTTGAGGTGTAGCTTCTTCCCCAGCGATGGGATAGTGGTCTTCCACTTGTTGGAGTTGTTGCGCTGGGCGATAAGGGGATCGTCCACGTGTGAGTGGACCACCTCGGCGAGCCTACCTTCGTCGTAGAAGTAGTAGAGGCCCTTTTCGAGCTTGCTCTCCGCGAGGCCGTGTTCGGAGAAGACCTTCTGCGCGTAGAGGTACCGCCGCCTCCCGGCGTCGCGCGTCCCGTAGATCGCGTCTGCGGCCATCGCGATCTCGCCGGGCTGGGTCCCCGGAGGCGGTTTCTTGGCCGGCATGCGCAGGGGCAGTGGCCTCTCAATGTTACCCGACTGCAGGTAGGCCGTCATCGCGTCGTAGGACGAGATGTCCCAGTCTTTCTGGGCCGCGGCAGCTAGGGTCAGGTACAGCGCGTCCCTGGACTCCGTAGGCGCGTCCGTCCTGATCTGCGACTTGTCCTCCTGGCAACCCTGCGCGACCCGGCGTGCCTTCATGATGTTCTGGCCCTTGCTGGTCAGCGCCCAGCGTGCGCCCACAGGGCGGATGCCAGGGTTAGGCCGCAGGAGTTCGCTCAGTTCCTTGGGCGGGAGCTTCCTGTAGGCGCCGAACTCCGTCCACTTGGGCCCCTCGGTCGTCATGGCGGCGTCCATGTTCTTCTTCTCGGTGGCGCTCAGCGTGTCGTACTTGAGCTCCGTGGCGGTCGCGCTGCTCGTGGGAAGTGCCTCGCGGAGTCGTGTGCTTGCGTAGAGCTCGTCCGTGTGTTTCTGGAGGTAGTTGTCTAGGAAGAAGTCGATCGACCTTGTTCGTGTCCTTCGGCCGCTTGAAGCACTTGGGCAGATCGTCCCAGAGATCCTTGCGCTTGGCAGCGCGCTCGCGGGGCTCGAGCTCGTGCTGGCGGTCACGTTGCAGTGCCACTGGTGTGTTCTCCTGTTGAACTTGGCGCTGCGTCTTGGTGCCGAGCTGGTTCTCGGTGTCCGGTGGGCGCCGCGACATCGTCTCCTGGCGCGCCTGCCCCTCCGCAATCTTGGCCACTTCTCGAATCATGTCCGAGCCGTCGGACTCGATGTCATCGTCGACCGGGCCCTGGGGGGCAGGTTCAGGATGTCCAAAAGCTGCGGCAGCAGCGGCGGAAGTGGCTGCAGGAGCGGCAGCGTCGCCTGAGTCTGAGGCTGAAGCTGGCGCCGGCGGGTCGACGGCCGCT